AAAATCAATTAATTGTGTTGATCACTTTATATACTGGTCCTTACTGCGATACTTATTTTAATCCGAATATATATAGATACCGTAACGGTCTATCAATTATGAATTTACTAATCTAGATATTTTATATTCGCAATGCTCCATACATGCAAGCTCCAGCAACGGTGGAGGCAGGGGGAGCACCGTACACCGCACCCCGCGCACATAAACAAATTAGAATAAATTAAATTCATAAGATTATTTATATATTTCGACTGCCTCGGTGGTCACACCGCTTTACATCCGATGGTCGCGGGTTCGATTTCTCGCACGATGCAAACATTTGTACTCATCGGTCATCGATTGTTTTCATCGGTCTGGGTGTTTTATATGTATATTATATATGTATTTACAAAATAAAAATATCTATTTATATCAGTTCAGTATCAGTCTGTGTTAATTGTCCAGGGTTATTTATTATATTTTTATAAACGGTTATCTTTTTCCATCGCACCGCTCGCTATCGACAGTGAATTCATAGAAATGTCACTCTAAAAACAAAAATAGTTTTGTGTTTTGTATTTCAAATACTAAATGCAAAATAGGTATTTTCAAAATACTTTTTAAAAATTAAGTACCTTTTGAATTTTTGTCCAAACCTCAGATATTTTATTTATTTTAGGTATATCAATCATTACATAGTAATATAAAAACAAAGTCGCTGTCGCATCTAACAGTACATAAACAAAGAAAGAAGACTTTGGCTCTGATACCGTAACGGCCTATGAATTATGAATTTATTATACCTAATCTAGATATTTTATATTCGCAATGCTACGTACATTGTAATATCCGCCTCCATTCATTGTAACGGTGGAGGGACTAAATAGTTGAATAAAACTGAATAAGCAGTTGCTCCACTCTATAGGTACTGCGTCGTCGTCGTATGCTGTTCATTTTTTCACTCGTTTTGGCGCCAAGAGAGGGTCACATAGTCGTGGTCAAGTTAAGAACTTATAATTTAATTTTGATAACAATAGATACAAGTAAAAAGTAGGTATTATATTAATGTACGTAAGTACTGTACTTAAAAATATTTATTCTTTACTGTATGTACATTTGAAAAACTTAACACTTAAGGACTTGTACATATACACGTACATACTGCCATTTTCTCTTAAAGACATCCAGAGAAGCACTATTTATCAAATACGCGGGGTGCACCGACCTTTGACCTTATAACACCTGATTCGCGCGTTATATAATTACATTGCTACTTTTTGGTATTTTATAGTGGATATGTCACTATAAAATATTATTATTTCTTTAGATTATGACATAATAACATAGTTTACATGATTTTAAGGGAAACATACGATAAAAAAAAATCCCGTAAAATGTAAAAGATAAAAAATGGTTATTGTTGGTTATCCTTAAGAGATAGACATATACCATCACGGACTTTTTTGTTGACCTTATTTTGATACATCTCAAAGCACTAGACAACACGCATTTTCATTAAACAGTATTGTATTTTTTTATTTCTTTAACTTTAATGCACAAAAAAAATTGTACATGTGGCGGACTTAATATTTTGCCGCGTTATTTACCAGGCAACCATGAGTGGTGCAGCGAAAGATTATTGGCGGTGCACTAATATAAATAAGAAATGTCAAAAAAAGATTTATAAAGATAATAAAGATAAGCAAAATATACATTTCTATAAAAAAATAACAATATACATACATAAATATATATCTAAATATAACCCATAAATGTATAAATATTATATATAAGTAAATACATAATGATCCGATAATCAAATTATAAGTACAGTCTCAAATTGAAAGTAAGAAAATCAGAAAATATAGAGAGAACTATATGGATATAACAGAAAGATGTGAAAAAAGGAGAAGGACAGTAAAAAAGTTACAAATTTAAATAATGTTCCCGCAATTTCTGTTTAAATGAATTTATTACATTATTATATATATTAGGCATACGACTAGCCTTATGACTGTTACTTTTTTTTTTAATCTATACATCTATACATGTAAATAAAATTGGAGTGTCTGTTTGTAATATTGAAATAACCGTTTTTTACTACTTGCATATGAATATAAATACGGTACATACACCAAAATAACATATTTTACAAGTTTTGTCTGTCTGTCTGTCTGTTTGTTCCGGCTAATCTCTGAAATAGCTGGACCGATTTTGACGGGACTTTTTTTGGCAAGTAGCTGATGTAATAAGGAGTAACTTACGCTACTGTTATTTTATAAAAATAAAATAAAATTTCACGCGGACGAAGTCGCTGGGGCCAGCTAGTCTATAGATATACCGAGATTTAATGTTTAAGTTGCTATTATGTTGTTGACAAATTTTTACTGTAATGTTACTATTACGTTATCCTACACAATTTGTATTATTTTGGATGAATAAATAAATAAATAAATAATAATCTATACATCTATACATTTAATAAAAATTGGAGTGTCTGTTTGTAATATAGAAAAAACCGTTTTTTACTACATGCATATGAATATATATAAGGTACATATACCAAAATAACAATTTTTATAATTTTTGTCTGTCTGTCTGTCGGTCTGTTTGTTCCGGCTAATCTCTGAAATGGCTGGACCGATTTTGACGGTACTTTTTTTGGCAGGTAGCTGATTTATAAGGAGTAACTTAGGCTAATTTTATTTTAGAAAAATAAAGTTAATTCCACGCGGACGAAGTCGCGGGGACAGCTTGTTTTTAATAATAACTGTTTATTTGATAAAAAAACATCTTTTTTGTGGTACTTGAGAATGTTGTAGCCTGTTGTTTGTAATATTGAAATAACCGTTTTTTACTACTTGCATATGAATATAAATACGGTACATACACCAAAATAACATATTTTACAATTTTTGTCTGTCTGTCTGTTTGTTCCGGCTAATCTCTGAAATGGCTGGACCGATTTTGACGGGACTTTTTTGGCAGGTAGCTGATGTAATAAGGAGTAACTTAGGCTACTTTTATTTTAGAAAAATAAAGTTAAAAACCACGTGGACGAAGTCGCGGGAACAGCTAGTGTATAATATATTAGAGATACTTACGTGTTTTTTTATTGATGACTAGCTGTACACGGGATTTCGTCTGTGTTGAATTTAACTTTATTTTTCTAAAATATAAGAAGTTAAATTCCACGCGGACGAAGTCGGGTGTACAGCTAGTTGTCGATAGTCTAGCGATTTAGCTAGCACACTGCTTTGATTCCTGCTTGGTGGTCGAGGGTTCGATTCCTCGCACGCTGCAAACATTTGTATTCATGAGTATGATTGTTTGTAACGGTCTGGGTGTTTTCTATGTATAGATAATATATATGTATTTACGAAAAAAAATCTTTGTATTTATATCAGTACCCATAACATAATCTTCAGCTAGCTTAACTTGGGTCTAGATGAAGCTGTGTGAATTGTCCTGAGATTACTATTATTACTATAATAAATCTTTTCAAATCAGCCGATGTTTATTTTTGCCATAATACCTGCTGTTACCATGTGATAATATTACGTACGTACTTATTAAACTATTAACGACCACCAAGCAGGAATCAAAGCAGTGTGCTAGCTAAATCGCTAGACTACCGACAACTAGCTGTACACGCGACTTCGTCCGCGTGGAATTTAACTTCTTATATTTTAGAAAAATAAAGTTAAATTCCCCTTTATTCGCTCAGTAACGTTGTTACAAAAGAAAAGATTCCCATCCAAAAAATAACAAGTATTGAGGTTTGATCTGGAGTCACGTTACTCCAGACTGATTTCTATAAATATTTAGATTAGGTAGACTATTATTTTTGAAATACTAGCTAGACATTATTAAGTTACTGTAGCCATAATGTAGTAGCCCAAACGTGCCAATGAGGAAGCCCTTGGCAAATGCTGCACCCTGATTGGCCCGTTTGAATTGGATCAAGAACTGCTCGTATGCCAAAAAGGTGGATTTGTATAAAATCGTGTATAAATCGCTTAATTATTATTATTACTCGTCGTGACAGTTGTGGCTCAAAACGGATCAACATTTATATATGGTCATCTGGCATTAGATCAACAAAAGGCCTCCGGATCAACAAGTGAAAAAGGATCAACAAAAAACTACCTATACGGCACGTCTGAGCCACAAAGTGCCCAAGGGGATATTTATATATATATATATATATATAGAATAAAATCAGCAGCGGTAGTGAACGCATCCGGGTGGTAACAGATGGTCGTCATCAGTGAAGTCGTGGTGAGGACGGTGACACTTGAAGTTGCGTATGGCTGCGGCACGGCCCGCATTAAAAGAAAATTTTAAATGAAACATGTGTATTAAAGTATATATATATATATAGAATAAAATCATCAGCGGTAGTGAACGCATCCGGGTGGTAACAGATGGTCGTCGTCGGTGAAGTCGTGGTGAGGACGGTGACACTTGAAATTGCGCATGGCCGCGGCACGGGCCGGCAATAAAAGAAGATTTTAAATGAAACATGTGTATTAAAGTATAAAATCATGAGCGGTAGTGAACGCATCCGGGTGGTAACAGATGGTCGTCGTCAGTGAAGTCGTGGTGAGGACGGTGGCACTTGAAGTTGCATATGGCCGCGGCAGGGGCCGGCAATAAAAGAAGATTTTAAATGAAACATGTGTATTAAAGTATAAATATATAGTATAAAATCATGAGCGGTAGTGAACGCATCCGGGTGGTAACAGACGGTCGTCGTCAGTGAAGTCGTGGTGAGGACGATGACACTTGAAGTTGCGTATGGCCGCGGCACGGGCCGGCAATAAAAGACAATTTTAAATGAAACATGTGTATTAGAGTATATATATATATAGAATAAAATCATGAGCGGTAGTGAACGCATCCGGGTGGTAACAGATGATCGTCGTCAGTGAAGTCGTGGTGAGGACGGTGGCACTTGAAGTCTCGTGTGGGCGCGGCGCGGGCCGGCACTGCGGCGCTGCACCAGCTGCTGCCTATCGCACTCACCGACACGCAACCCTCCGCTAGTCCTCCCGACCATCTTATGACAAAACCATTTAAGTTTTTATAATAACAAACTAGCAATATACCCCAGTTTCGCACGGGACTTTTATTTGTTTGACTTTGAAACTGTTTAACACTTATGTATTTAGATAAGGATTAATGTCATGTTTATACAAACATCTTCGCAAATAATGCATTGTTTAGAAGAAATTTGATTACCATTAGAAAGGTTATAGTGAATTAACCTTAAAAGATAGATATATTATATATATAGACACATGTCGGATTGTCCGCTCCAGAGACACTGGACATCGCTGTATCGCTTATAAGTCGTTTACTAACATAATATGGATACATATCCGAAATATATATATATATATATATATATCTTATATATAAAATTCTCGTGTCACAGTTTTCGTTCCCATACTCCTCCGAAACAGCTTGACCGATTCTCATGAAATTTTGTGAACGTATTGAGTAGGTCTGAGAATCGGCCAATATCTATTTATCATCCCCCTAAATGTTAGGGGTAGTCCACCCATAATTTTTTTTTATTTTAAGGCAAAACAACGTTTCCCGGGACAACTAGTATATATATATAATGTGTTATGTATTTTTCAAACACCTTTTTTATGTGAAATAATATACTCAATTGTGTTGCTCTGAAAAGAGATTATATTTATTACAAACAATTGTCTTAACAAGTATAACAGCGCATTACTAATAGTATCAATTTTAAACAACTCACCTGAAAAGAGAAACAACATTTAACGCTATTACTTCACAAAATTATCAACTCAAATTATAAACAATTATACACGTATTATTCAGCAAACAAACTGTTAGAAACATCTAGAAACTTCCTCGACAAATGACGTACGTCATTCTGACGTTTAAATTTAATTCACCTACAAATGCGCGCCAAATTCAAATAATGAATGTCAATGACTTTCATTTACATATATATATATGTATATATATGGACTTTTTTCAGAACTATTAAAGGAGAATAATTCCGTAATACTTATATTTTGCGTAACTAAACGTTTATGCAGTGGAAGCACTCAAAAATAATCTTTTTTGCCACATCTTACATTGCTGCCCCCCTTCTATTGGTCGTAGCGTGATGTTATATAGCCCAGGGTAAGCGAACCATTACGCATCAACGTGCCATTTTTCCAAAAAATGTTTAATGGGGTCATTGACCGGCCATCAAATATTGACTTTCTGATTATTTGAAAAATAATAATAATAAATATTGTGCGTGTTTAGTATCTTTCATAATATGTTCATCGTTATCATATACCCTTATCACTTAATAGTGTTCGAGTTCACATTAATATTGTAGAAAAATCCGATATCTTAAAAACATATTAAAAAAATTTTTAGAATGCATTAACACTCACCTTCACTACTTGTGGTATCCTCCCAGTCCCTATAATATTCACAATTACCTATCTCTTATTAGTTTTTATAATAATATAAACACTCCAACCTTTTCGCTCCAAACTACCGCTACGTCAGTTCCATCCATCCATCAATCTACTTGTCAATGTCAAAATGTTACAAACTTTTTTAGACTCTGGCCTCTGCCGTTTCGTTTCAGGTTACTCTGAACGCCATAGATGATTATTGACTTTACCATTTTTAATTAATGGTGTTTCACACGATTGTTAACATATAAAACACTACATACTTAGCTGTATATTGAACGTAAATACGTTGAGAGTCGGAGGGCGAGACGGTACACTGTAGTGGCCACACTTCAAATCCTTTACTACCCACCCATTGGATAGTTAAGTCTAGTTTTTGATCTCCTGCAAACAAGACAAATTATTTAAAAATATAGCATTAAAAATAATTTTTATTTCATCATCATCATCATCATCTCAGCCCGTAAGACGTCCACTGCTGGACAAAGGCTTAGGATTTCCACGACGATTCTGCGCTGCTCACATCCAATGCCTTCCAGCGATCTTGACCAGATCGTCGGTCCAACTTGCTGGAGGCCTTCCCACGCTGCGTGTTATTTTTATTCAAATTAACTTAATAAAAGCTCTTTTAAATAGTCATATTTTTTTAATTCTGCCACTCGTTCGGAACCCAGACTCGTCACAAGTAAAAAACTTGAGTGTTTCTCTGTTAAATAAGTGTAAAAAAAGAGTGATTACAAAACTGCCAAATGATAAAGTTGATATAAATAGTTATTTGAATAACAACCTAAATCAGTCATAGTTAAGAGCAAATCAGCCCCTACAAGTAGCACCTTTTCACGAGTATGACGAGTGAACAGCAATCACTGCACTGTGTGGAACTGCACCACCCTCCGTATGGAATTTAAGTGAGCATGACCTTAAACCACGTATCAAATTAAAATTCTTTAAGATAACAGTAGATTTGTTTATTTTCTATCTTCATCAAGATAAAATTAGAAGATGATGTAGAGTTTTGATGGAGATCTGATTGAGACTATGCAATAAAAGTCCGGGTGATAAACCACGATGTTTTCACAAAAATACTTATTTGAAAATCTATATATATATATATATAACTCAAAGGTGACTGACATAGTGATCTATCAACGCACAGCCCAAATCACAGGACGGATCGGGCTGAAATTTGGCATGCAGGTAGATGTTATGACGTAGGCATCCGCTAAGAAAGCATTTTGATTAATTCTATCCCCAAGGGGATAAAATAGGGGATTAAAGGTTGTAGGAAACTTTGTCAATTTTAAACCGATCGGGCTGAGACTTTGCATGCATAAATCTACTATGACGTAGGCATCCCCTAAGAAAGAATTTTGATAAATTCCACCACTAAGGGGATTAAATAGGGGATGAATTTTGTATAAATCTTCTTAGATTTTCGACTGAAATTAAAGATTGGAGCTACTCTGATGAGGACGTTCGCTTAAATAGGATTTTGATAAATTCAACCCCCATGGGGATAAAATAAGGGATGATGCAGGGTGTAAATGTATTAGTTTGAACCTATCAGTACCTAATGGAACGAATAAATTAAGACGAACAAAATAGTTTTTAGTTCTTTAGGCTACTTTTATTTTAGAAAAATAAAGTTAAATTCCATTTAACAGCTAGTAGGTTATAATCTATATATATTAATATTATAAATGCGCAAATGTGTTTATCTGTCTGTATTACCTTTTAATAACCAAACGGTAAGCCGTTTTGTCCTATTAGAGATCCTAATAAAATTTGATATGAAGATAAATCTTACGAGATCGGATATAGGTTATCTTTTATCTCAAAAAGGCAGACAGACGTAGCCGCAGCTAACGGTACATAAGAAAGAAAATAAAGAAAGAACATAACATGAAAATACACTTACGGCAAGTGTGTGCGACAGTGAAGTAAGTCTTCCTGGTATCGCCGTCGGTGACAAACCCGAAGTCAATACTAACCGGCTCCACTTTGAGAATTGGAAACTCCACGTCGAGTACTAGAAGCTGAGTCTGCGAAGTCACATATATAATAATAATAATAATAACATTAGTTCAAAATGATTATAAGCACCGCCATGATCAAGTTGCTACAATTATACATCAATATATAGCACATAAACATAAATTCATAGAAAGCAAAGTTCCATATTACAAATACAGCCCTATTAATGTATTAGAAAACGATCACTGTAAACTGTACTGGGATAGAACAATAATTACTGACAAAACTGTACATCACAGTAGACCAGACATAACATTACACGACAAAATCAATAAAAAATTATATCTTGTAGATATAGCCATCCCAAACACACACAATATACAAAGCATAGTCAATGAAAAACTAACAAAGTACACAGATCTAGCAATAGAATTAAAAAAACAATGGAAAGCACACACCATCCACATAGTACCTATAGTTTTGTCATCCACAGGAGTTATACCAAAAAGTCTGAACAAACACCTAGACACGTTGCACATCCCCTCCTCTACAATAGACCTATTACAAAAAGCCGTCATACTAAACACATGCCGAATAGTCAGAAAATTTCTATCTTCATCACATAACTCATCCATGCTTGGCTAAGGCCCGCGTGTTTGAATATATTACCCCCGTAAAAAGGGAGATATAATAAATATATATATATATGTAATAATAATAATAATAATAATAAGTATAAGTTGTAAGTAATAAGAGGTAAGTTAATGGCAACTTACCTCTTATTACTTACAACTTAGAGGGGACATGAGAATTTTTGTAAAATAATAATCTCAGGACAATTCACACAGCACCATCTAAAACCAAGTTAAGCTATCTAAAGCTTGTGTTACGGGTACTAGATAACTGATACAAGTACATAGATATTTTTTTCTATGTAAATACATACATATTATATTTAAAAAACATGACTAACTAGTATAAGATATGGCTCAACCGTCACACTCGTGAACGGGTGCTGCTTGTGGGGACTAGTCTGTTCGGTTGCGAACACTGATAATTTTTTTGTTTTTTGCAATAGCATATGCTGGTGGTCACTCTATTCTCCCAAATTTGAATTTAAATGAATCTGTATTATTGTAAACATGTACAACATTTATTTGAAAAGAATACGAGCCGAATTTCTAGTGAGTTCTTCTCATCTGGAAATCATTCCGAACTGACGGTAGATTCGACATATCATAAGAGTCTGTAATAGACCTACACGAATATAGATATTTTTTTGAATTTTTAATGTACAAACGCACAATAAAACAAGTATATGCTCTTAATAATATAGAAATGGTTTGAACATTTTCCTTCTAAAAATATTATTTCTGTTCAATTTCAAATATAAAATAAGCTGACTTCCACGAGAGTGCTGTATCATCGTATAATGCATCCGGGAAAATGAAATATTGAATTTGTACTCTCACATTCAATAAATATTTCCTACTAAAGTCTTATCAATACTCCCATACTAATATTGGTCTGTATTATGAACCTGGTAAGCAGATTGTATCACCGGCTTGCTTACTGAACCAAAGGGCGCTTGGTAATACTGGCCACAAATAAATATGGCCACTAAATGTCTAATCTATACATATAAATAAAATTGAAATGTCTGTTTGTAATTGTTACGGAAGGAAGGATGGACTGTATTAAGGCTGGTTAAAAATGAGACACGTTCTTAGGTGAGGTAAAATAGCTGTAATCAGCTCGCTAGCAAAAATATAAAGACAATATGGCATTAGAAAACAAATAGTATAAATAAATAAATATAGTTTTTCTTTTTTTTTTGAGGGTAGCTGTGTAACACTAAAGACAAAAGTTTTTACTCTCTATTACAAAATTATAAAAAAAATATTTATATCTTCATATTCTACATTTATTTATATGAATTCTTAAATTAATTATATTATCTACCTGAAGTGCTAATTTCCTTTCACTTATATTAACAAAATTTGTAAAATGGACACACTACACAATACTATGGCCGGTATGTTGGAGCATTTTAACAAAACTATGGCTGATTTCAAGAGTCAGTTGGAGAAGGCAAGAAACACACCCACTACTATATCCTCACTGGAGTCAGACTTCGACACATTCCGGAGTTTCATTACCACAGCACTCACAAATCTTCAGAAACAAGTGGAATTGGTTGCTCGTCAACAAGATCAGATGGAGATGCGTAGTCGACGCAAAATCTTATTGCTGCATGGTGTCACCGAGTCTCAGAAGGAAAATGTTGCCCAGGTATTATCAAAGGTTGTCATTGATAGGCTGCAAATAGATGACTTTTCAGCTGATCAAATCCGTCGCTGTAGCCGCCTTGGTCGCTCCATTAAAGACAAACCTCGTCCCATTCTTGTTAAGTTCCGCGATTTGGATATTAAAGACGAAATATGGCACTCCAAGACTAAGCTCAAAGGTACCGGTATTACTATGTCCGAGTTTTTGACTGCAACTAGACACAGCGTTTTCATGGCGGCGAGACAACTGTTTGGAATAAAAAAGTGTTGGACACAGGACGGGTTCATTATCGTTGCTGGTGAAGATGGAACAAGGCATCGTATAAGTAGCACCAACGAACTAAACCAGTTGATGAGCCTGTCGCCACCCCCAGCAGTGCATTCTGTTTCAACTCCTAATAATACAAAGGACTCTGGCGTCATCACGACACGCTCAAAGCGCCATAAAAAGTAGGATAGTTCATAGTTTTTTATAGTCCATATTGAGTTTCCATTATGTTTGTACTATTCACGATCATAGTTACTTTACTTTATTTATGTACCTCTAAATCACACTTTATTAATTTACCGACAAATTACTTTTATTTTATAATTATTTTGTAAACAGACATGTCAATCAATTTTTTGCCAGCTCGTAACTGACAAACGTCAAATTGATCGTCATTCATTCATGTCATCATAGTGTTGTCTGTAATAAAGTAACTAATATTTGCAACGTTCCGTTACATGCACTTATAATCTTTAGATATTTCTATAGGTTGTTATTAGTATTAAATATACATATTTTTTTTTTTTTTTAATTTAATTAACAGGTAGATAAGATCTTGGGATCTTGATTTAAGTTTAATTACATTAGTAATAAGTTTAGTACTTTTATAGATAATTCTTTTTTTTTTTTGTTAACTTTTTCTTGTATAGGTATAATATATATTTATTAAGGTTTATTTATGTTGGAAGATGATAATTATTCTTCGTCTTCAAATTCATCTTCTAGTTATAATTCTACATACTGTGATATTATTCCCCTTAATGAGATTTTAAATGTTAATTTAGATAAAACAAATAAAATTTTTAATGTGGTGCATATTAATGCCCAAAGTATTCCGGCCCACTTTCCAGATTTTTTAACATCTTTCAATGTTGAGAATTTACACGCGATTTTGATATCAGAATCATGGCTAAAGCCGTGTCTCCCATCAGTGTCATACTCTTTACCCGGCTTTAATCTGATTCGTAATGATCGAATAAAGGGGGGTGGTGGAGGAGTTGCCATCTATCTTCGTGCTCATTTATCCTATAATATTATCCTGTCCTCTGATATTTCCAATCCCTCCCTTGAACCAGAATTTCTTTTCATCAATGTTGATTTCTCACACTCTAAAACTCTTCTAGGTGTTTTCTATAGTCCCTCGTCCTCTATTGACTACTTCTCTTTTTCTAGAAAACACTCTTGAAAGTCTAATCCCCTCCTTTAATCATACCATTATTATGGGTGATTTTAATACATGCCTCCTTAAAAATGACTACCGTTCAAACCGACTAAGGTTGTGACGGTTCGCCTGGTATTCATTTTAGTTAACACCATATATTTTATAGAATTATGATAAAAGAAAATAATAACAATAATTATTTAAAGATTAAGACTTATAAGTTATATAATGGAAATAAAGCAAACAAAACAAAAGAAAGAAATAGTTATTAGTAGATAATTCTAATGTAATTATCATTCTGATAAACTCCATGATAATTAGGGGGTCGACTGTGACGGTTCGCCTAGTACTCATTTTAGTTTTAACGTCATATTTTGCATAAAATGGGCGATAAAAGGAAATAACAATAAAAATGTACATATTAAAAATATTCACTTCAAAAATTGTATTTGATAACTAAACATAGAATAAATTAGCATATATTCCGTTATTTAATTGACAAAATAATTGTAGTAGAAGCATCGTCTTATTTGATAAATAAAATACATAAAATAAGTTATATGTAAAATAGTACAAAATATTAAATAAAATCAATATTGTGTATTTAGCTTTCAACACCAGAAAAAGGATAGTTCGCTATAACTATCTATAGGTATAACATGTGTGTCAAAATAAAGCCATTAAAAATTGTTAAATGCATATATGTAAACATGGTTACTAGCAGAAAAGACAATAGGGCGGCATCCTTTTGTGTTCGTCAAAAAGAAGGCCGACAAACACACTATCTACAGATATTACACGTGTGTTAAAAACAAAACTATTAAGAACTGTTAAATATTTTTCTGTAAACATATTTACTAGCAAATAGGACAATAGAACGGCATCCTTTGTGTTTAACAAAAGAAAGCCGACATGCATGCATAGGATGTTCCAATTTACTATGTTGTAAGAGATCATGATTTAAATAGATAAATAGAAAACGACTTCTAAGGAATTAATTGTATTGACACATTAGTTCAGGTTTTGATAATAGAAAGGAATTTATTAGAATTTCATAAAAACACAGTATGTAAAATAATAGTATCAACAGAATGAGCGGTTATATATGAATACTAACGTTTATCTAATTATAATGATTTATTAAGTAAATTATAAATTACATTTTTATTTTTATTACAGACTTTAATATTAATTACATATTATATATGTGTTTGCGATTTATTATAATGTTATATCAGCATTAAATTGATAAACAAGTAAATATATTATGTAAACTCGGTAAATGGTTGTTTATATTTTATATAAGAAAAATATTTGTAAAACAAAATAAAATTTAGGATAAAGAAAAGTGTTACAAAATAAATTTAAAAATCATCCTGTATAATTAGTGTGAAATGCCTAAGAACGAAGTTCTCACGTTGAGTTATGTTTAGATATATATATTTGGCAAAAACAAAGTCGGTAGAAGGTTGTTAGGAAGGATGAAGAATCAAAAAAAAGAGTTAGTCGTCGGCGAGCTTCCGTAGGAGTAACAAGTGTATATTTAACTTTTTTACTATTCGTAAATGAGGAGATTTTAGTAAGTGATTTTAATACTTTAATATCCGTTCTTGTCAACATATTGGTAAGTCATTTTAATTCTTTCACTTTATTTATTGTGCTCATAATATACTGTATGTCTGTTTTCATTTGACTGTATTATTGGGATATGTTAGATAAACTGCCAAGTTAATTAGGAAATGTACATGTGTTTATTTATTTTATGATTTGCGTGGAATTAATATGTTGACGAATACATTGATTTAGTTTAATTACTTATAATATAAAATTTAACGAGCATGGTTTATTTGTGTCTTTCTTATATTACGATAATAGTCTCAATTTGTACCTAAATCTGAGTTATATTGATTTATTTTCTTTAGTTTTAAAAGGTTAGGAGTTTAATATTAAATGTGTATATTTACTCGTTAGATGCTAATGAATGTAATTCTGTTTTTTAACAGTTGTTGATAACTCTGATATTTTATATGAGAATTATATTAATAATAAATTTACTACGACTAAACTAAAAGTAAATTAAGGAAGTTATAGTAAAACCCTATTATACTTATAATGATGGCTAATAATAGTTCAGTTACTTATCAAAAATAAATATTTCATTCACTTATTTCAACTATTTATTACTTATTTCAAATATTTCATTATTCACACTAAATGTCTTGCTGTGTGGTGTTCCTTGTTTGGGATAGTAAATTACGTTTAATATTTCGAATATGTATTACATTACACGGAAGATGTAGTGAGAGGAAGATCCTTGAGTCTTATATATATTTTTGCTGAAGGCTTTATTAGAAGGAGGCAAATGTTTGTATCGATGAATAAACTATTGAAGTAACATTTTCCAATAATTTATGATGATCAAATGTGAACCGTAAATCTCTATGGAGATAATAAATAGGTTGTGGAAGTTTTCTTTCGAGCAATGTAAATCATTTGAAGTTATAATAAATAGGTTGTGGAAGTTTTTATCAGTTGTAGGAGAGAGAGGATATGCTTGTGTGGGTAAAGTTAGGACAGATTAAATAGATAATTAATAGACGATGAATTATATACTATGATGAAGTCACATGTTCCATCATTTGAGGAGAGATGAAGTCAAAGCTCGTAATGAAGGTTTTTTGAGAGAGATGGGTCAAAGCACGATCCACTCCCTGTGGAGATTTCTACAACCAATAGGGATTTCTGTTTAGTTGATAACTGAGTGGTTATCTAGGACACACCCTAAGTTTTATCGTATGCATGTTGTATGGCTGGTGTATCAATATAGAGATATATTGCTACTCTGGATATGCAGCATTGTGTGAGTAAAGTTTAGGACGCATTATATTTATTATATTACAACTTATTATACACTGCACAAATTAAATAAGTAATTAATAGACGAATTAACCATTGAATATAATTATATTAACCAGCAGAAGCAATAGCAATGCGGTTCACTATGACTTCCTTATAGATATATCTTGCATTTCATAAATAAAGGAATTGCTAAATTATAATATAGAATTATTATATTGAAGTATAAGAATGCATTTATTAGATCACCACATTGAGATTAGTAATATTAAGTGTATATGCACTTAATGTTGTAACAACCTTTATGTTAAATATATTTTATATGAATAGCATAAATTAATAATTAGGGTTGTAAGAGATTACATTAATATATATGTAACTGTGAATATTGTAGGCATTGGGGGGTTTATTAGATGAATTCTGGGAGGTTCCCAGAAGTAGTGAAGGTGAGTGTTAATGCATTCTAAAAGAGCTCTTTAAACCTACACCCGAGTCACAAGTCTCGGGCACCACTTGTGGTTCTCTCCCTGAATCATCAGTGGCCGGTATGAAGGCTAATCGTCATCATAACTAGTGGGTTTAATAAACATGTACATATAAAAAAGTATAATTGCTAATTAAGCCAGTATTATAATAAGACTATATTGTTTCTTATTTAATAAAACTACAATGTAATAATATATAAACTAACTATAAATAAGACATGGGATCTTAACATCTCCAGTCATTCCTATCAATCACCCATTGGGCAATCGGATTCATGTGGGCGATGCATTATCAAAATTATTATATAATTTTGAATATATTGAAATACAAGACCAACCATATACATATAGATATCGGTAATAATAATATTACATTTTATTCTACAATCAATTCTAAGGAACTTCGGTTCTTTATTAATTAATATATTTAATATTATTCTTCTTGTTCCAGTCAATTCAATAAAATAAAGGTTTATTTTAAGGTCTTTGGCCTTAATAATAAATACTAATTACTTGAGCGTAAATATTCAGTATAATAATATTAGGACTCTTAGTCCTTTAATTTATATATACATATTATATGTATATATACATATATATAAATATAAATACATACACATAATCACATCTATGGGCTTCGGTCCTCAATGAAAATATATTTTATGACTATCCATTTTATGGCTAAACATTTTATCAATTACCAAGCCTTGGCTTTTATATCCAGGACTCCGGTCCTCTATCATATCGACTATCCACCTAGTGGTTGTCTATACATAACAATCATCCAGGTCACAGACCTCTGTCACTATTATTTATATTATTATGATTATTTCACTATGTGATTAATCAAATTCTACTGATT